TTTTTTTTTTTAATGAGAAAGACTTATCTGCATGGCATGGCAAACAGTTTTTCACCAAACATTTGCTCTTCTCATCGTCCTGTGAACTGTTCTTCTCCCTCTTGAAGCTCCAGACTCCTACACCCTTCTCCTTAGCTCAGGATGGTGTATGAGCCTCAATTGCCTGACTGCCTTTGAGTTTTCATGTGTTTTGAGGGCTCCTGTATATATGTAATTATATTTTGGGTTCTCCTGTTAAGCTGTTTTATGTCAATTTGATTATTAGACCAGTCAACAAAACTGGAAGGGAAGAAGGGGGTGTAATATGTCTCCAGGAGTAAAGGGTCTGGAACATGTTGGACTCTCTTTAACTTTCTGTCACTGTTTAACTCTGTAGAATCAGGTTTGCTGATGACCCAGAAAGCTGGAATGCCACCCACAGAGAAAGGTCATGTCCCCAGGAAGGAGGTTGATGAATGTACAGAGTGTGGGTGTTATCTGTTAACGTGGAAATGCATCGTTCTTTCTGGTGATCTATGTGATACCGACCATATGCTTTTACTGTTAACCCCTATGGAGAAGAGACCCTTTCTTTGGAGGGTGTGCATTTATTCCCTGCCAGCCCCCCCTGGGGGCAAGCAGCTGCTTTGCCCGTGTACGTAAATTTCTCGTATTAAAGCTCTAAAAAATTTAAATAAAACTAGGTGTAATTTTTTCAGAATCAAACCTGAATTTAGACTTTGGGGATTTCCCCCATGGCTTACTGCACAGAAGTACCCTGCCCCATATGACTTAGAGATAAGACTCACCAATGTCCCTTTTCACTTATAATGAGGTCAAACACAGACCATTTAATTATTATTTTTGCCTCAATAAAGATTAACTGAGCTGTTTGCCTCCACTGATCAATCACAATAAACTGCTTGTAAGTAAACCTTAATTCAGCTTCCCTCCTTTCTCCAGTTGTCTGAACTTTGACCCACCCTCCTTCTGACCCAGCCAACAACCCTTCCTTATAGATCCTGCCTAAGAGTGAGCAAACCTCAGGGGAAACGTTCTCTGATTACCCCACTCTCTCCTCACCTGTTCTTCCCAGCAGGACCTTGTTGGTCCTTCCCTGTGAAGACAGTTCCTTTCTTCGTGGCCTGTGAGATGCTTGCAGCTCTATGGCTGGGTTGTTTTCCACATCGCAATAGCCTCCTTCCCTTCACTGCAATGATCCTGTCAAAAAAAATTTATTTTGACTTGTCTAGATTATTTTTATTTCATAATACAGAATGCCAAATTGTTTCATTGTCTGTTGAATAGTTTACTCCCTTTTACCCAGATTTGGAGCTGTTTTTTGCATGTATTTTTTGGAACAACAACTATGCCAGATTCACGTATTGTTCCTGGCACATCTTAATCTGCTATTTCTCTGACTGTTCCCTATGGCTATTTCCATAAATTTTTGTTTCTATTTTAGTCCTTGAGTCTGTCTTTGCCTCCTCATTTTCCTCCTTCTTCACTTACCTATTTCCTTGAGGTCAAGTTCCTGTCTTCAGGTCACTCCAGAGAGCCCTGCATGGAGAGGAGGTTCCTTCCCAGAGCCTGGTAAGCTGCTGACTCTGACCTCCAGCTGAGACTTGGGCTCTGGCTGTGGTGGAGGTGCCTGAATTTATACACCAAGAAGGATGTAAAAAAGTGGTTTCACTTTTGGATTTTCTAATAAATCAGCTGACTAAAAGGAATTCTGTTTGTTTATTTATTTTTATTGCGATTTTTTTGTTTTAAAATTACTCTAATTAGAAGACTAATTAATTGTGTGTGAGTGTGTGTGTGTGTGTGTGTGTGTGAATCCATGAGGTTTAGGGTGAACACAAGATAAAAACACACATCACAAACAGGATAGAGGTAGAATTTGGGAGGAGACATGGGCACAATTTGCAGATCAGTGATTTCCTCAGGACAGTGCTTTAACTGCTTTGCTGTTCTAATTCTCATGTAACCTAAGGACAAAGGGAGAAGCAGGCTCCCAGTGCTAATGAAATCTGTTAGTTTTTATTTCAGTAAAGGACTTTTATGCTAGAATTAGTTTCAAGTCTTGAAACTCTTTTTTCTAGGAAATGGTTAGTTTGAAAATGAACAAATCATCCAATATTTTATTACCTGATTTGGATGATCCAACTCAAAGGTGTGCTAAGCTTTTAAAGGTGTGTTGTGTAAAAATCTAAAGAGCATAGTCTGTGTTTATGGAGAGAAAGAGAGAATTTTACTCTTCTGTATCCTTCATATTTTTCTAGTAACGTTATTTCTGACAGTTGATCCTCAAACTTAAACCCATGTAAAGCATTTTGCTTTATCATGTTTCTCTGAATATAATGCATAATAATATTGATTTCAGACAAGTGCCCCCTGTCCTAATGTTCTTTTATTTCAAACTTTTGTGATCTGATGCACAGATATTCTTCAGGTGAACTTCATACTCATTTTTTCAGTTCCTCCAGAAATCCTACCCACATCTCTTTTCCTACACTTTCCTTAGATAGGAGCATTGGTGTTTTCTTTCTTTATTTTCAGTTTTAGTTTTCAGTTACACTTTACATTAAATACTATTTTATTTTAGTTTCAGGTACACAGCATTGTGGTTGGACAATTACATAATTTAGGAAATGATCCCCCTGATAATTTAAGTACCCACCTGGCACCATACATAGTTGTTACAATATTATAGACTAGATTCCCTAGAGGAATTGGTGTTTTCTAATAGACAAGAGTTTAAATACCAGTCAGGACAGATTTGAATCCAGCATCCAACAGTTACTAGCTATATTTATTTAAGTTTTTTTAAAAAATATATTTTATTGATTTTTTTATAGAGAGGAAGGGAGAGAGATAGAGAGTTAGAAACATTGATGAGAGAGAAACATCAATCAGCTGCATCCTGCACACCCCCCACTGGGGATGTGCCCACAACCAAGGTACATGCCCCGGACCAGAGTCGAACCTGGGACCCCTCAGTCTGCAGACCGACGCTCTATCCACTGAGCCAAACCGGTCAGGGCTTTACTTAAGTTTTGTGAATGGGAAATGCAACCCATGTAATGAGAACAGCTGAGTAGTGGAATGATTTTTTTTTTTTGCCAGTAGTACTATCTACCTGACATAACATTAAAGGGGATAAAATGCTTAGCCTGAAATAATTATTCAAATTCAGATTTTTCTTCATGGCACATAATTGGTTTGAAGTTCAAATCTATCAAAGAAGAGGTATCAAAGGGAATGTTTGCAAGTGCAATATTCCTTGAGTTGTTTAATTCAAATCTTGGAGATTTTCTATATGAAAGCCACCATCTTACAGTTCTGGGGCCTTTATTTTCTACTCATATGCTGTGCTTTATATCAGTGTTCATATCTCATCTAATGTTATGCTATTGTAACAGAGAATATAAAGCATAAAATATTTTTTTTTAATTTTTATTGATTTTTTTACAGAGAGGAAGGGAGAGGGATAGAGAGCTAGAAACATCGATGAGAGAGAAATATCGATCAGCTGCCTCCTGCACATCTCCTACTGGGTATGTGCCGGAAACCAAGGTACATGCCCTTGACTGGAATCGAACCTGGGACGTTTCGGTCTGCAGGCCAACGCTCTATCCACTGAGCCAAACCGGTTAGGGCTAAAACATAAAATATTTACACAATATTGTAATATCCAGAATTAAATATGAACTAACAAATTAACAAGTCTGTTGGAACAAAAAGACGAAGCAGATTTTTTTGCTATCAATCTGTATTTTAACACATTGCAGGGACCAACAGTATCAGTGCTTATCCAGATGGGAGATAACTAACCAGAGAAATTAGGCTGATGCAGATCAATTCAACTTGCTGACACTAAGATCTTTGCCATAACCAGGAAAACAGTGCCTGCATGCTCCCACTTCCCTTCCCTCTCCTTATGAAAGCCACCAGCTTGACCAGAGATGCGAAGCTCGTCTTTCAGACAGGAATCAGCCATCTTCTCAGGAAGCCAGCACCTGAACATCCCCTCTCCTTTTACCAACACCTGTTTCATGAGTATTGGCTTTCATCACAGCAGGCAGCCAAACCTGCCTTTGGTAACACTAGGAGTCTACAGATGATAGAGTCTGTGCCTGAACCACCTTAGAGTCTGTCACATTTTAACACGTTTTCTGTATGTGATAAGACTAGAGGCCCAATGCACGAAAATTGGAACAAAAGTAGACATTCCGCTGCCAGCACCAGCTTCCCTCCGGCACCCAGGACCAGGGCTGGCTTCCCTCCGACCCCAGCTTCATCAGGAAGGACATCCAGAATGACGTCCGAAAAACGTCCACTCTAATTAACATATTACCCTTTTATTGTCATAGATAGCAAACGTTGCCTGAATTACCTATAGTCTCAAAATCAGATTAACAAAAGAGTTCATTCCACCATTGTGCCTCTACTTACTAAGGACAATGCCCAATATGGAGAAAAGACTTTTGGTTTCATTGATCATTCTTTTTTTTTTTTTAATATATATTTTATTGATTTTTTACAGAGAGGAAGGGAAAGAGATAGAGAGTTAGAAACATCGATGAGAGAGAAACATCGATCAGCTGCCTCCTGCACACCTCCCTGCAACCAAGGTACATGCCCTTGACCGGAATCGACAGGTCGACGCTCTATCCACTGAGCCAAACTGGTTAGGGCTCATTGATCATTCTTATCTCAGTTCTGGGAAATGTTTGTTTTTGTCAGGAGTGTTTGCTAAGAATAAATGTCCTTTCCCTAGCCAATTTGGCTCAGTGGATAGGGTCTCAGCCTGAGGACTGAAGGGTCCCAGATTTGATTCTGGTCAAGGGCATATGCTCTGGTTGTGGGCTCGATCCCCAGAAGGGGGTTTGCAGGAGGCAGCTTTCAATGATTCTCTCTCATTATTGATGTTTCTATCTCTCTCGTCCTCTCTGAAATCAATAAAAATCTATTTTAAAAAAAGAATAAATGTCCTTTTCTTTTTAATTTTCAGTTATCAATTTTAGATAAAGAGGAAGAAAGGAGGGAGAGAGAGAGAAAGAGAGAGACAGACAGAGAGATCAAGATCTCATTTGTTGTTCCACCTACTTATGAATTCATTGACTGGTTCTTGAATCCCCAACCTTAGCATATTGGGACAATGCTCTAACCCACTGAGGTGGCTAGCCAGGACCCTAGTGAATTTTTACTGTAAGCTGTTATCCTTTGGCTTTCCTGCCAGTTTCCTAACTTATCTTTCATTTGGAAAATTCTAGCCTTTTTCTGAGAAAACATGAATACACACACATTTCCTTTCTAAGGCTTAGAGAAACCAGAGAGAGCCAATGACCCACAGGTCCCACCAGAGCTTGGAAGAGGCTAAGACCAGGGAGGCACTTAGGATGTAATTTTACTTGAGAGTGAGGGAGTCCTTACATTTTTCACTCTAGGTGTCTCATGTTCCTCACCTAGTTCAATCCTAATCCCACTTTTGAACATCTGTACAGTGGGGCAATCCATCTCTAATCCATTGATTAGAGAGCAAAGGGCAGCTGAGATCACTAAGTCTATCCTGCCTGTTATTTCCCCTGGATCATTTCTTCCAGCTGCCTCTACTAAACTCTGGTGGGAGATACTTGCCAAGAAGAAAGAGAAGGACAAGAGGAAGAAATTTCAGATAACCCAGGTGTATTAGTAACATCCAGTCTTCCTTTGTTTTAACACCAATTGTGTGGGTGTTTTCCCTTCAAAGAGCAAGTCCACAACACTAGCAGGGTGGCCTACAGTAGAACTCATTCTGACACTGTCTACCTGAATCTAGTCCTATCCCACGGGTAAAGGGCTCAGTCCCACCTTCAGATTCCAGTGGCGAGGTGCAGGTCCCCTGGGTACTAACAATGTCTGTCCAACTTGACTACAAATCAGAAATTCCCACAACCCTCTTCTCAGGCTCCATTAGGTATGAAGAGTGGTTCACAGATCTCAAGGAAATACTTACCTATGATTACCAGTTTACTAAAGAATATGATGAAGCATAGGGATGCAGAAATACATTGGGTGGAGTCTGTGAGGATCCTGAGGGCAGGAGCCTTAGTCTTGGTGGAGTTGTGGTGCATCATCCTCCCCGTATAGGTTTGTATTCACCATCCTAGAATCTCTATGAAATACACAATGCTGGGATGTTATGGTGGCTTTCTTCCAAGATAGTTATTTCATCCTTAAGGAGACAAATAGGCTCAACACAGATGAATAGGAAAATATCCCAGGCAAGTAGAAACCAAAATAAAGTAGGGTTGGCTATGCTTATTTCAGAGTAAAATAGACTATAATCCAAAAAGAGTTATAAGAGACAAATAAGGTGAATATAAAATGCTAAAGGGGTCAATTTATCAAGAAGATATCGCAGCCATAATATATATGCACCCAACAGCAGAGCACCTAAATATATTAAGCAAATACTAACAGAATCAAAGTGAGGAGTAGACAACAATATAGTAATAGTGGGACTGTAATACCCCATTTGTAAGTAACAGATAAGTCATCCTGATAGAAAATCAGCAGAAACATTAGATTTGACATATATATTTGATCAAATGGACCAAATAGATAGTTATAGAACATTTCATGCCGCTGCTTGCATATTCCTAATCAGTGCACTTAAAATATTCTCCAGGATAGATCATAGGGTAGAACACAAATCTAAACAAAATACTCCTGAAGAACCAAGTAAAGAGAAATCAAAAGAAGATAAAAAAAATATTTTTAAACAAAAGAAAATAAAAACTCAACATAAACAAAACCTATGGGATGCTTCAAAGGTAGTTCTGAGAGG